TGATGGCTTCTTCGGTGAAGTATCATGCCAGTATACGAACGACGCCACAGTTTAACTCGTGTCCTTCCTGATCTTTGCGTGCGGAGATGCGGAGATACCAATTCAATGGAGCGGAGAGAGCAATTGGATATCACAGTTTCGCATTAGTCAAAACAGCCACCTAAAACAGACTTAGGTTTTTTGCTAATTTCGTCTTCCTGTCTTGTTGTGCTTTAGCCTCATAAATCCATTAGGAGACCCAATGAGTCGAATTTTGCCATTACTATGGTTTATCAGTAGCAAATGTCCTCTCTTTGAACACCTGTCTCAGGCCACGTAATACCATCTTGATTTTGTCGTTCAGTGATTACATAAAGCTCCACTCTACTGAGGTAATGGAGAGTATGTTTCCATTTTTAATGTACAGATATAACTTTACTTTCATTATTACTAGCATAGCGATAGGGTCAGCAGCATACTTGAAATCTGACCTTGAAGAAGCAGCAAGCTGTATCACACTACTTCAAGCTAACGAGAGTAGTATGTGCTAGACCACTCGAGTTAATGTGCCCTGCTGTGCCTCTAAACATCCCTTTGGAATTAAGGACAAATCAGATGCAGTATTTCTGTTCTCGTTTATATGCTGGGAACCTTCGGACAACTAAGCAACCTGAGCACTGATCACCCAGTTCGGAAAAACAATATCAGTACCTTTGTCTATAAGCCTAATTTTGCTCTACTTGAAAGTGTCACTCAGATAAACTAATCCTAAAATTTGTTAACTAGTTTAAATGGTGTTTACTACTATGCTACACTAGTCTACACTATACCATATTATAATATAATACAATAAAACAATATAATTAATATAATATAAGATAATATAGTATAATATAATATAATACAATAGAATACACCATACTATACTACACCATAATATAATGAAGTGATACGTCAAGCGGCGTATATTACTGACGAAACATGGGAGTATTCCGTGGCCCGGTATCCAAGCTCCGTTCCGTATCTGACGAAAGGCAAAGTTTATTACAAAAATTATGGAAATGCTATGCAGTGTGTGTTTACTATTGTTTAAAAGACAATGGATGTCCAGGAAGATCTATGAGAACGCATGATATTTTCGGTTTTTAAAACCATGATGCAGATGATATGCTTACTTTTGAGGTTAATCAACTATGTTGTGCTTCTTAATGGATGACTTCGTAGCGAGGCGTTCTGCCTCTCTCAGCGATAGCAACTCACAAAGCCCATAGAGAAATACGCAAACAAACTGTGTGCGCGTTACCCAGATAGAACAAACGCATCTTTAAAAACCCCAGGCACCCAGTCTGTAATTCCAATTAATTAAAGCTACAGAACTCAAAGTATGGCTCGCTCGAATGATGGAAAATAAACCTAAGTGTCGGAGAAAGGTCACCTTATTGAGAGGGCGGTCGCAGTACAAGGTACCTGTTTCTTCCTCTTGTGATCAATGGTTATTTTCTTTTCTATTTTGACTACTCGTGAGTAGTGTGATTCATATCCGTTTATCGCAACGTACTTTAGTTTCCTCACTGCTCATTCCCCCGGTGTCGCTCCTGCTAATTATAGGGTTAGTATTTTGTTGCCCTTCCGTTTTTTTCGCAAGTTCGCTTCAGTTCTACTTGTTTTCGAGCGAAGAAAAAACGGATCGACCGGAAATCGTTCCTAAAGCTGCTTAGATGGTGAGTACCCACTGCACCAACTCGACACATTGGGGACTAATATAATAAATAAAATAATATAATTAATATAATATAAGATAATATAGTATAATATAATATAATACAATAGAATACACCATACTATACTACACCATAATATAATGAAGTGATACGTCAAGCGGCGTATATTACTGACGAAACATGGGAGTATTCCGTGGCCCGGTATCCAAGCTCCGTTCCGTATCTGACGAAAGGCAAAGTTTATTACAAAAATTATGGAAATGCTATGCAGTGTGTGTTTACTATTGTTTAAAAGACAATGGATGTCCAGGAAGATCTATGAGAACGCATGATATTTTCGGTTTTTAAAACCATGATGCAGATGATATGCTTACTTTTGAGGTTAATCAACTATGTTGTGCTTCTTAATGGATGACTTCGTAGCGAGGCGTTCTGCCTCTCTCAGCGATAGCAACTCACAAAGCCCATAGAGAAATACGCAAACAAACTGTGTGCGCGTTACCCAGATAGAACAAACGCATCTTTAAAAACCCCAGGCACCCAGTCTGTAATTCCAATTAATTAAAGCTACAGAACTCAAAGTATGGCTCGCTCGAATGATGGAAAATAAACCTAAGTGTCGGAGAAAGGTCACCTTATTGAGAGGGCGGTCGCAGTACAAGGTACCTGTTTCTTCCTCTTGTGAATCAACGGTGATCAATGGTTATTTTCTTTTCTGTTTTGACTACTCGTGAGTAGTGTGATTCATATCCGTTTATCGCAACGTACTTTAGTTTCCTCACTGCTCATTCCCCCGGTGTCGCTCCTGCTAATTATAGGGTTAGTATTTTGTTGCCCTTCCGTTTTTTTCGCAAGTTCGCTTCAGTTCTACTTGTTTTCGAGCGAAGAAAAAACGGATCGACCGGAAATCGTTCCTAAAGCTGCTTAGATGGTGAGTACCCACTGCACCAACTCGACACATTGGGGACCTTCCATTAACTATATATCGCATCTGCTGGAAAGTCTTTTTTAAATTTGTTTTAAACGGACCTAAGCGCCCAATTCGGTTTTTCACGTGACACGAGCTGATGCCTTTTCCCGTCTACTAAAGACATTTCCTTACCTCCCGAACGTACTGACTGTTTTCTGCGCCGTTATCTCTCTATAGGGCCAACTTTCACTGACTGACTGCCGTATCTAAATCTCTGTTGCCTCAATGAGCATTTTCTGTCCCTGTAGATTGCCCCATTATTGTTTGTACGTTTTGTCTGATTCACGATGCTTGATAACTCGTTTGTCAATAGAACCAGTTCTTGAAAGTCCGTCTGTTCCTACTGGGTACGAATTGCGTATAATCCGATGGCCGCAATCGTCCCGTGAGATCCCTAACTCCCCGGATTTTACAGAACCCAGTGCTTAAACATTCATCTATGAAGTTCGTTTAACGGGTCAAAGATACCAAGAAAAGTTTGAAATTATTGGACAGAAGTGTTATATCTGCTGATTAGCCAATCTGTGGTATCTGCTGCTGACCCGCTCCAGTGTCTAGTGTCGGAGAACGAAGACTCACAGATGGGAACACAACAACTATATTCCGAACAAGCGAGTGGGAGAGCGTTAGTGCTTGTGAGATCGTCAGTGCGCGCGAGAGCGTTAGTGTGTGCGAGTGCGAAAAGTACAATGGTCTCAAGCTGTTTATTGGAAGGACTGTTTGAACTTAGTACAATGCTTGCTCACGCGGTCTAGCTTTGGTGCGAGGCTGCGACGCACTGTCTAGTGCGGGGGCGTTGTCTGACCTTGATCAACGCTGACTCCCTGTCTGATTTGATAGATGGCTGTGAAGTGATGCATAGTGAAGGGGCATTGTCTGTCTGGTCAACATCTAGCGTAGCTGAGAGTCTCAGTAAACCCCGGGCATTCAGTGGTTGCTTTCAGGAAGCTGAACTTCTTGTGCTGTGAACCTCTTTTTGGCTGATTGTTAATACTTTGGAGTATGAAGCAAGCATGAGGAACAAATAAACAACATGTTGGAAGAATTATCAGACAACAGCATGCAGGAACTAGACACCTCGGTCAGCCATAATCTAACACGGACTTCAAAATGTTTACCGGCACTCAACGGATCGTACCCGGGAAACGTCATTATCGAAAATTTACTGTGGACAGGGGGTATTTTAACAAGAGAGAGCGAGTGAAAATGACAGATTTAAAGAAACATAAGTACTACAATGTGTGCGCAGGAACAGGTGTACACAACAAACGCTGCTAAGGGAGCAGAATTTGGTGATCGGGGAGTAGGAAACACCGGCAGCTGTTTCATTCTACCAGGGTGAAGATGGGAAAAACATCATTTTTCGACGAATACTGTCATTTGCACAGGAAATTGCGTTGACGGAAGACTCAATCAAATCCAGCTGGATCTCTAATTTACGATTATCCGCCTCAACTAAATGTGCTGCACCGGGCCACTTCACGCTTTAGTTGGTATGATATTCAAGGTATTACAATGCCTTGTTGCCCAGACGCAACATGCTACTCAGAAGACTTACGAGTGGTGCATCACATCTAGGCAAAAACGCCAGTTCATTTGCATACTGATTTGGGTTTCACGAAAGACTCAGGTGAATCCAGTTAATGATGATGCTCTCATTAACCAGGCGTTATTTTCCCTCGGCTAGCCATTTTGTGGATACTTGGAAATGCCGCCGTTCTTCCCTCGTCCTCGAATGTGTTGTATTGTGGTGCGTACGAAGATGAGTGATTGGCGAATCTCTCCCCTGATTGGTTCGAGTCGGACATAGAAGTAATAGAAGCTCGAGGACTGCGCCAACCTGATTATCCACAGAAAGTCAAAATCGGTCATGTGCTGTCGAAGAGTTTTCAACAATCTTGTGGGTATCTTTGTAATGTACTACTCATAAGGTTGCTGAAAATCCGTCGACAGCAACCTTATGAGTAGTACATTACAAAGATATACATGTATCGTGATATCCCGAATATCGTAGCGACTGAAACATGAGGCGGCCTGGTGTAGCACGTTCAGTTGCCTGAGAACATCACAAACGAGAGATTCAGCTGGGTTCCAGGTGAGTCTCTCAAAAAACCAAAATATTTTGCAAGTGAGTGTATATTTGCCAATATTGTGGGTAGTTTTCTTCAGTAAGAGCATTTACTCCTTCTGAGGCAAAACGGTCTTTTAAGCGCCAAAGCACATGAGACCCCTTTAACTGTGGATGATGGTCCAAGATGCTGACCTATTGTAGATTGATCAAATGCTTGACAATTCAACCATTCGGCTTTTTTAATGAACGACACATTCAGCTTGGCAAATCCTTGGCCACAATAGCAGCAAGCTTTCTATTTGTTTACCTTGGCGGCTATATCGGTGCCGGTGATCTCGGCAAAGATAATACTTCCACCCGGATTGGGAAGACCGGGTCAGCTTTTTTGAACCTGCGTCACCTGTGGCGTAGACGTGATATCAGCTTTTCTTTCAAGGGTGGAGTTTGCAATGCTGCGGTGCGCTCCATATTACTATGTGGATCAGAAAGCTGGCCGCTTCGCGCTGAGGACGTCAAAAGACTTTCAATGTTTGACCATCGATGTCTTCGGAGCATTGCCCGAATCTTGTGGGAACACCGGATCAGCAATGCTGAAGTTCGTCGAATGATATTCGGAGGAACTAACTCACCTACGATAGATGAACTGATCACATTGTATGGTTGCGCTGGTTTGGATACGTGCTACGTATGCCATTCGACAGACTTCATCGAAGGGCTCTTTTCGCACAACCACGTGAAGATGGTCAAACGATGACTTGGCAGCGAAGCATAAAAGCCATTATCAGTAAACTCAACTGAACCGGTCATTACCGTCTTCCTGGATAGGGACCCCGAGATAGGCCACATCAATGCTTTGGGACATTGTCAGACATGGTCCATTCGGGCCCTCAGGGGCGGTCGTTCATCCAAGCTACTGCCTTCAATGCATTGCTCACTTCCCAATCACCCCACTTAACAGTATCCGGATAGTTCCGTATTTACACCCCAATTTACCTGTCCCCGCAGCTACCTATCCCAACTCCCCAAATCATCGATTGACGAAACTGTGGAAGCTACAGCAACCGAACGATAAATACGCCGCTCTTACATCTGACCTAGTTACACTAAGTTATACTAGTGTAACGTCAGATACTACTGATGAGACATGCCAGTAATATGCTTTCTCGTTACTCAGCTTTGCGTCCATTAAACAGTGGGATTTATAACGGAATTTGTGGAATTGCTTTGTAGCATTCGTTAACATTTGAGTGATAGTCAATGAGTATCCAAGAAAGGAAGAAGACAGATATTCGGTTTTTATAAACAAGATGCATATGAGAGTTTTGCTTCCCTGATTTAACATAAAATGTGTTAGTTTCTCGGTCTGGAATCGAATCAGAGAATGCGATAGGCGGGGATACCAAAATACTAAACATGGTAGTCTGACTGAGTACACTAGGTCACATATATCTGTTGTGGACCCTGGAGGTATCAGAAGGAACCACGGCAAACATCCTACAGCAATTCCGCTCAAAGTACCGCTCGACTCCAAATCCATCTACACCGGAGGGCAAATCGCCTGAAGAGACACCATTCTACCGCATTCCTCGAAGAACCTTTGATCCTCTGGAACCTCCGAAAGAGGAAGCGGCATCATCAAATCAGAAAATGGAGTCTTAGTATAATCGCACGGATGGTGCAAAGTGGCGATATTTTGACTTCGGACAGAGCGTACAAGTGAAGGACTGCCGTAGTAATCGCGTATTCTGGTCTCAAGGCAAAATCACTCAGTGAATCGGAAATTCCATCTATGATGTTCGCGTGGGTTCCGAAACGTGGGTTTGTCATGCAGATCAGTTTAAAGATGCTTATTCATAGTGCACCCAGAGATGGAATGTGTTGTCTCTGAACATTTTGGTGGAGAACCTGGACATGGACAGAGGAAGGACAACCGACAGTCAGGTTGCGGAGCAGCTGCCAGAAGCGCCTGTGTATTAACAATGACGAAGGACGACACGCAGAAGAATGCCAGTGACAAAGACTCAGGTCACTCCGAGAAGGTCGACTTATACTACTCACCTTCAAAGGTCACTCCGAGAAGGAAGACTTATACTACTCACCTTCAAAGGGGAGATATCTCAATAGAACCAGCTACGAACGTACCGGGATTATATAACAGCCAATGGAACAACCGCTTTTCGTTGAGACAGATTTCATTGGTTATTCTTTACTCGCCCTTGACGGATGAGTTGTATTCATAGTATCAGTGTACGCGACAGTGATCAAAAAATCAACGTCCTACAGTGATCTACAGATGTTTGTCGATCTTACTTGATATGTCATCCGCTTTGAATACCAGTTGGAAGTGTGCTCCTTGCTTTTTGGCAGAAGCAAGCATTTTTGGAGCAGCTGGTCCTGAGCACTCTGATGTTTTCTGCTTCCTGCTTCCTCCATGTGACCGATGAACACTTTTGATTAGCTTAAATCAGGAGAGTTTGCGTGAAAATTCATCCGCTACTTGTTAGAACAGAAGAGTCATTGAATGCTAATCACGTGACCGTTGACTAGGCAATTTTAGAAGGCAAGTACTAGGCTGTGCTCGGCCTATTATCGATCTTTCTTGTGGCGGTTTCACGAAGAGTTAACAGTAACCCTGAATCCTCATCTCCATCACATTGATTTCGGCTGAGGCTAAAGCCCCGTTTTGCGTATTTAGAAAGAAATAATTTTTCACGTGAAATTACTTTTAGAAAACTCTCTGGTTTCTCGCAATCAGTTTCTTTCTTAATGGCGCTTTACTAAACTTAATCCAGGTAGGTTTGATTTCAGAATTGGATCGGTGTTATCATACCCTACCGCTTTAACAGCGTATGCTACTGATGAAGCATACAAGTAGTCTATTTTCCGATGTCCAGGCTCTGCACATTACAATCGAAATTATGAAACTGCTTTCTTACACAACTATCTTAGCACTAGCTCACCCACACAGACTAACAGAAGGTTCAAACGAAGTTCAAGAGGAACCATCAAATGAACCGAACAAGAAGAACTAGACCCTAGGCTGGACCCAAACACATGTAGGTTTCCCCACCGACCCAACACTTGTTCAATCACTCTAACACACTAAAATCCATCGGCCGACACCTAACGGAGATCTAGCTCGACTTAGCTGATTGGTTCTCCTTCCGCCTTAAATCTCGACCAACCTCGGAACCTAGTCACTTGGCCTGACGAAGCTTTTGTGTCAAAAGCGAAACATTGCCCAGCAATAAATCTACCGATTGTCACTAAACTTTTTCGGCAAAGTTATTCGACAAACCTCATTTGTCCACGATCATGGCGTCAACAAATACACAGGTCTGTCATTGAAAGGCGAGCGGAATGTTGTTCCCGTCCCTTTCTAGGCTAGCCTCGCGGGTCTGATTGGCGGAGCGACTGCACGGGAAACATGACAACACAGGGCAGTTTCCGTAAACGGGGCACGAACATGCATAGGTGAGTAAGTAGGTCAGCTGCGCACATTCGCGCGCGCACACGCACACATACACAAACGCTGATATACCATCGTCGGACAGGACGGCCTTTGAGGCGACTTGATTGGCGGGTACCAACGACCAAAACAAGTGGAGATCAAAGTAGACGAACACAGTAAGCGAACGAATGGGGAAATTATCGTGCTGTCAAGTTGGGTTCAATAGTGGCATTTGGAGCGACCTTGGGTGGCCTGTGAAGGCTAACGTCTTCTCCGTCGTTCTACCTACAGATTGTTGCTTGCTTTCGGTAGGAATTGAAGTGTCACATCAGCCCCAGCGTTTTCATGGGTGTTTCTCAATGCTTCGCACAGTGGGTCATTCCGCCAGTCTCCCGTCTTCACTACATTTAGTTGTGAAGAGATGTAGAACAACACGCCACTGGATAAGCTCCAGGACGAAAAAACCCGCAGAGTCTTCAGCAGCCTTTTGCGTGGCGTGCTTTGTTCGGAGAGTATACTGCGATATCTCGAAAAGGAACGCAACGGAAACATGAAGAAAAGATATTCAGCTGGGCCTCTGAACAAGACCTTAAAGTACTGGAGTCTGCAGAACATATCTGCAATACGTTGAGGAGACTAGTCTCTGAGGACACACTTTTGTGCTGGATCGTTGATACATGCTTCAGGTACGGTGGTTCTCTAAACTAGGTGTTCCCATAAAGGGGAAACCTCCGCGGAGAGCACTGCCTACGCATGCCCACAAAAGTCACAAAATCTCGGTTGGTCCGCTGCTTTGAGGGAACGGTTAAACATGAAAGCCAAAGCAGTGTCAAGAACTGTCTACTCGAATTCGCTACCACTGTTAGTTGCCGGGTCCTCTGTAGTCAGGCAGGGCTTGTTTAACATAAGTTTGAATTGTGACAAGTGAAGCTCCTGTAACCAAAAATCTATAAAGCTGAGGTTTGACCGGAGTTTTAGTCCACTTATTTTCTTTAGAAGACACGCAACCACGAGTCCGTAGGTGGTCAAATTCTATTTGCTGCTGAGTAGTTATCAGTTGAACAGTGTGGGACTCGCGACCAAGTGGCATCACCGATGCTGAAAGACCTCATCTGATGAGTGTCTGGCGTTGGATGCGTTGTCAAGCCTTTTGCACCGCATGATCCAGTCTGTGGAAGACTAAAACTAACGAACAAATCTCTAAAAACAACGTTTATACACTGACTGGGTCAAACATTTTCATTTAGAATGGGTGAATTTTTGGGAGGGCTAGATAATTTTTGGGAATATAAAATGTCGCGTGAAAATTCTGAAATCCCATTGGTAGGTTATGCATCAAAGAATGCTAAAAAACGACAATCAGCAGTTTTTTACTTTAAACTTCTTTCAGAAGCATTACTAAAACCTCGTTAATTTTATCATTTTCTCCGGGCCATGGCAACGGAAAATTCCCCTCGCTTGCAGCACGTAAGAACTTTGTGCCAAATACGTTATTCTAATGCCTCGTTGGCATTTCGAAATGAAATCGATCGGATGTGAAAGGTTATGCCTACGGGTTTGTACTGATGTTCACTTGTGACATGAAGTTTGCAAGACAGAAATAGCACTGCTACCCTCCGTTACTGCCTCTCCACAAGTCTTTTGCTGTCCATTTAGTGTGTTAATGAATAAATTTCAGATATCTACGTGTACCATCAAAGAGTAGACTACAATGCAGTCACGGTGCCCTTAATAAAAGAGCTTTTTTATCGATCCCGCCACTCAGCTGCATACCTTGTAAAGTCGTCAGATTTCAGTTGTGTTTACATCACTCTGCAATCGAAAAAAAAACAAGATGAAATGATTACATCAACATAGAAGAGAAGGTCACGAAAATAAGTGCTTAAATACATTCACACAAGGATGAAATCACCAGAATCCCGGCGAAAAAAATCACAAAATAATTATAATCATAATGGTCACCGAAGAAAATGTTGATGGCTCAGGTCACGTGGATGGTCTTTGGTTTGTTCGATAAGATGGGCACGAGAGGCCAAGACCACGGATCCAGTGGGCACCTACCAATCAGGACACAGGACAACAGGTCAACCAACCGAACAACTGGTGTTGATCGGAGGCTAGCACCACGTGTGTCGGCGCACACACGCACCACCACTGACCCGTCGCTAAGCTCCTTTCCTTACCCTACCAACCTACTGATGATTTCACCTTGGTTGATGATGAAACGAATGCGAAATTGCCTAGCTCATAAGACATGCTTGATATGTAAGTGGCATGATAATGCTACTGCTACAGTTCAGTATTATTCTACTCAACGGCGCTATCGGCAGATGGAGCTGAAAACGTGTACATGTTTTGCGATGGTCCTGACTCTGTTAAGGTTCTATTAAGGTTCCGCGGATTTTAGAATCCGCGACGCATCATGCAACGCACACTGGTGACGATTCCCAATGGGGATGAAACACCTGTACGGTTCTCGTAGGATTCTCAGCATAGACTAATTTCGTAGGTTGCTCTGGTTGGGACATGTAGTCCGCATGCCAGAAGACTATCTGCCTCACTGAGCCCTATTTTTCCCAGCGCTGCGCTGAGTGGAAGCGACCGAGAGGTGGACACTGTAAGACCTGGCAACGAAGTACAAAAACACTAACTAGTAAACTTAGTCGATTCGACAACTGCTATCTTCCTGGATGGGGAATCCGAGACGCAAATCATCAATAGTCAACGACATTGGCAGAAATGGCCCAGCCGTGCAGTCACTGATGCTGGTGTATCACAGCTATCCCCTTGAGTGCATAGCTACCCGATTTCCGAACGAACTGAACACGCCTTCGCCCCAAGGCTTGGTTGTTCGTCCCACACTCCCATTTTCCGGTGATCGAAACGGTAGCAGCTGGAACCAATGTGCCTATGATACACAATTTAGAGCGGATAAACTGAAATTGATTGAATTGAGTTCTCACTTAACCATCAGCCTGACAGCTATGGTGTCTGGGTGTCCTTTGGTCTTATCCGCCACAAGATAATCGAACACAAAGGGAGACATAGTCGTGGACATCCAATTTGGTTCCTTCCTGTAATAAAACGTACAGATCATATGTGCACTTCCTGACAATTAGGGAACCAGCAAGGCTGAATCCAGAGGCCAACAGGGGTATCATTCTTCTGTTGAAAATTTCGTACTATTCTGCTGATCATCAGGCATCATGCCAATGTCTTTTACGCTAACATATTCCTCATCAATGATCGCTGCACCATAAATACAGTTTGAAATTTCAAGATAACCGCCCGTTAACATTCAGTGCACCTAAGAATTTCAGAAAAAACTAGGCTGTGCCAATTTTTCTATCAGAATGAGGACGAAAGGTTCGGCATCAGCCTCTGATGCCTGAAGATATCCTTGGGGGTTAGTCAACATACATCCTATCGAACTGCTAACGATGTTGAATAATTTGAATATTTTCCCTGACGATTTAAACTTGTAAACTACTTCCGAAAAACGAAATCCCAGGTATTCGGGTGGACGGTAGACACATCTAAAACATTACGGATACGAATCTGCATTCCATAAAAAGGCTCGTTAGTTTTTTGTCCATATCTGGCGACCTAGCCTGTTTGTCAAGCATACAATGCTGTTATTATTACCGCTTTGTGAATAACCAAACTGACCATTGTTGATCAAAGTCAACAAAAACTTTCAGTGTTTGTGAATCCACGTCGTCAAAATATTGCCTAGGTATGGTCAGAACATGGGATCGGTTGTGCCGGACCATACCGAATCGTTATCAAAGGAAATAACCCATCATCAGTGGACGGGCTGATCACACTCCATAGGTTACACTGGCTTGATCATGTAAGTGGCATGCCAGCCAGTTGGGACATTCTTTGTAAAGCCATTTGGAAGGCTGAGGTTGAGACCAAGCCACGAAGTAGCGGAAAAGTATGAAGGCCATTCGCAGAAAAACATGGCTGAACAAATGAATGCCATATTGTCTAGGTCAGAGCGGGGAAACTGGCGGTCACGACTCAGTCCCATATGCTTATGATGATGCGTCGGAACACTGGTGCGACAGTGGATACTACTGATCAGGCATGCAAGTAGTATGTTGTTTTCTCGAAAGTCCTCTTCGCATCTATTGAAAGGTGAGATTTATTACGGAATTTGTGGAATCTCTTTCTAGCATTCGCTTACATTTGAGTGACGGTCAATGAGCATCTTGGAAAGTTCAGAAAGACTCGTTCGAGCAGAAGATGTATATTCAGCAAAGGCCTTCTCCACTTCGCTGGTAGCTCGGGCTTCATTGGTGATTGATCAGGTGATTGTTGATCTGTCAGCAGTGTTTCCTATTGGTTTGCAGACTTTTCGTCACCATTCAATGAGACATCATTGGTCCGCTGTTAGGCGGTTAGCCTCTATCCTCGCTCTTAACTTGTATAGTCTTCAAAGAATAGCTTTAAGCCATAACCTGATTGGCTATTGACAATCATTTTAAACGGAGTCTTATTGGTTCAATCCAAATAAAAAAAATTGCATCTGGTGATCTCTGAAAAAAATACAATTTGACCAACTCGGTGCTTCAAAGTCAAAGTAAAACAGTCACACCGCCATACATCAGGAACATTTCTGAGATGACTGCAACGGAAAAGACAAATACTACCTACAAAACTCAGTGCAAGAATTACTGGCAAACAGAGTCAGTGAACACAAGTTGGATACTGGGAGATACCATCGGCTTCTGCTCATCTCTGTACATGAAGACCGTGAAGGACACGAATTCGCGTGGAACCGCGAGATCGATCCAACTAATGAGGACAAAGGAAACCCAGAACTATCAAACCTCAAGCCGAATAAGGAATCAGAGAAAGAACCGATAGAACTAAAACAAAAGGCGTCCAACTTGGAAAGACAAATAAGCTGGACTGGAATTTCTACTCTTTTCAAGGATCACCAAATCCGAAAACCAAACGAGCCAAAATAATTCGAGCCCCACAGACAGAATGCACGTCAATCATTCGCCAGTTGAGAATGTATCAATCAGGCTGAAGACAGCAATTCAATAAACAGTGTGTCGTAGGTGACCGCCCATCGGTTACGTCTGAAGTCAGCCTGCCAGGCTAAGCAGTAAGAAGAAGACAGAAGAATCCAGAACATGGTTGTATTGTCAGGACAAACATAAAGAGCTTCTGTGTAAGGATATAGGGTGGCTGAATGATCATATCTGGTCATTCGCTTGTTCGTTCTGTCCAGCCAGTGGTAATGTTCGTGTCATGAACATTGGCATAGAACGTTCTGGATTATAAATGTGTTGGAAGAGCTTACCAAACACAGCTGAGCAGCATGAGACCAGCAACATCACGCCTAGTGTCTTGAACACAACCTTTCGGCCCATTCAGTATTCAGCCACGAAACCCATATCACGTGGTAATGTGTTGACCGACTTCTCGAGTGATCATGAAGCAACTCTACAGTGCTTTTCGGTTCTTCAGAATAGACCGGCTTTATTTAAAGGATTGAACTCAATTTGAAATTCCCAAAACCCCAACACTACGAAAGAAAGAAGGCCTTGGCTGCGGAGTTATTTATTATAAAATGCCAACTGAAAAGTTACAGACTATTGGACAGGTGAGCAAAACTCTCATATGCATCTTGTTTACAAAACTGAACATCCATCTTCTCCTTGAACGCGTCTTCCTGAAGTTTCCTGGATACTCATTGACCATTACTTAATTGCAAGCAAATGCTAGAGAACGACTACATGAATTCCGTAATAGATCTCACTTTTCAAGAGAGAGCGGATTTAAGAGAAAACATACTACTCACATGTCACCCCCATCAGTAGTATCACCGTTACACCAATCATGCCGAAGTTGGTGTCGCACGGAGTTAGTTTAACTTATTCGAAAATTGAAGTTGTCGTTGAGATACTTTCTCTTCACTCAATCCACTACTTTTGTGAGGCTCTACTTTCTTATAGACAGATCGGATACAAATCGCCCGGTGTCTTCTCATGTCCTAAAACATATTTTACAGTTTGGTGGATACTGAACTACACAAATTATTCATCCGAATGCATCTCTTCATGGCTTGAGATAGCCCCATTAAATTTACTGACCGGGAGGTCGGTGGTTCGAACCCAACCTCAGCAAATCGACTGTTCCTGTCTAGTCTTAGGCAACCTGATAGTATCTCAGCCCTCATAATTCCTTCGGATGGCATGACAGTTAGGCACCAGAAGGGTGTTATTATTATGTAGGTGATGTTGCCCGGCCAAAAACTGACGAAATCCCTTACTGGACTTAATTCACCAGCGGCGTTGACGGCAACGTCGCTTGAGAACGCGCGGGTTTAACTCGCCCACAAAATATGCCATTCATGTTTGGACGTATACGGGGATACTGAAAGGGCGCCCATATCTAGACAGGAAGACGATTAGTGTCCTCATTATGCTCTCGTGGCATGGTAGCTAGGCACCGAAGGGTGTTAGAGCTTCATGGATCGTCCCTGGGGTGTGCTTGACGAGGCCAGGTACGCTGTACTCCAGTGTACTCGGACGACCGCCATAGACACTGTTTTGTATTCTAGGCAATGAATAGCTCTCTTCGTCTATCAGTCCACTGACGCTTGCCATCATTTTGACCGATTCATCGAATTAAGTAGTACAGGTCACGCATGCCTGCGGTGTCAAAATCCGTCTCTCCATTTTCTGCGCTGTCACTACCCACCAGGATTTCGATCGCAATTAGTCTACTGGCAAATCCGTCATGCTCCAAGGGAAAAGTCGAAGATATTGAAATTGTTCAGCTAATGACGACGGGGTGATTCCTTCGCTACGCATGATAGCACCCGGTGACAGTCGGATCACCATGATCATGCCGTGTGACTTCTTCTGTGTGTTCTCTCATTTGTGATGTTCTCAGGCAACTGAATGTGCTGCACCAGATCGCCTCATGTTTCAGTCGCTACGATAGTCGAGATATCGCGACACATGTATATCTTTGTAATGTACTACTCATACGGTTGCAAATTAGTGTACATTCGCTAATTTAGTGCAATTTGGTTCAAATAGAACGTAAGTTTGACGGAAACCCGGGGACTGTGCCTACCTGATGAGCCCCAAAAAAGGCGAAACCGGTCGTGCGCTGTCGACGGATATTCAGCAACCTTATGAGTAGTACACTACAAAGCCCTAGTTGAACTTCGCCATCCGCGTAGTAAACTCTCTGCAGTCTGAACCAAGTTAACCAATCGTGAGTTCAATACGAAAGAGTACGGGTTTTCTGTCGCTCTCGTCTACCCAGAGATGGAAAGTTTCAACTGATTGGACGAGATTTCTACAATTCAACAGAAAAAACGATTGGGAAACCAAAAAAGTCACTGGCTAATCCCAAGACGCCTTCGAGTTTTTTTTTCTAGAATTCCGTATGGCACGTTTGGCAATTCTCCAAATGACGAAAGCAATTTTTTCGTGATTTCCTCGAAGGAATTCAGTTTCCTGTGTTGTTTGATTGTTGATTCGCTTTCTGTACGTGTCAGACAGTTTTTCAAAAGTGAATATCTTTCATTTGTTTTGGTAACTATAACCCAGTTCGAACTACGGTACAACACGTGACGCAGCACCAGCAGAGTTTGATGCACTTTACACGGAAGTCTCCAGATCTACCGTTTGACCACACACATTAGTCTGTGCCGGGTTTATTACACTTCCCATAGCCACTGATATCGATTTGTGCTGGCTACATTGTCCGTCGCAATTTGCGAACGGCGGTCACCATTAATCAATAGATGCGCCCATCTAAGTGTAGGAAAACTGGATGGTGCATGGGTGCGAGTGCTTTTATGCGCGCGCACCGACCACGTCTGCATACTCGTCTCCTGTCAGTGTGTACAACGAGGCGTACGCACCGGCAACCGAATCCTTGCGGTGACCGAAGTCAGGTTGTGTGCTTCGGCCTTGTTTGCCCACGCATAACAGACTTTGACTGAATACTGACCAGAGCAGGCCTATTTCTGTTCTTGTCCAGGCCGAACTCCAGCGTGTGAAGTTCGGGAATTTCGACGGCACGTGTGCACTGTGGCCCTCATCAGTCAGACTACTCCTTTCGATCTTCTTTACGATGTAAGTTCATAAGAAACCTGCTTCTTGTAGTATTTTTCAAATTGATTGATTGACAAGTACACGTTAGAGTTGAATTTTGTTCAGTAAAAGGCTAACCGTCACGGGGTGACGTTGAGAGTGTCGCATGGAGTCCCCCCAGAGTTATCACCTAATATGAGTCGTCCCTTCTAGACAGTACTCGAGATTTCGCTTTTTTCCTTCCCTTGTTACCTTCTACATGCCCATTACCCTTCTCTCCAAGCTAATCAGGTGATTTTGCACTAACGTACCTACGATGACATGAGTAGTGAGTGAACGGCGCGACGTTTTGCAAATTCCCCAGAAGTTGCGAAAGTCACATGACTCATGAAGAGTACACAGCTGAGTGGTAAAAATAGCCGCATAAATGCTGTACTACTGTAGTCCACAGTCTGTCAGCCACTTGGTTTTCAGTTCCGGTTACACGAAACGTGTAAATGATTAGTGCTCATCAGGACGAAACCAATTTTTCACCGCATCGTTCCGAAAATGATCTGAAACAGAGACTTAACAAAATTCTGGTAGCTCTTGTCTAACCTCTTAATACGACAGAGAAAGCGCCCCCATTGACAAACTCTCTGGAAATTTCCTAAAAAACAATTTAGTCTATGAATGCGCTTGCTGCACTTCGTCATTTACTAGTGAACTCCTGGACAAAGGTTAACAGTTCCGTAAGGTGCTTATTCGCCGACATGAATCATTTGAATGCATGCAGCTTGATCTGTCATCATACGACCATGAATTGACTTTGTTTAATTATGTGATTGACTGCCATCAATGATAAAGTAGTGATTTCACCGCTATCAACTATGCAGTCATCTGCATACCAATTTGGTTTTGACGAAAGATCCAACTGGAAGCCAGATGAAGCTCTCGTTTATAGTGTTGTTCTTCAATTGAATCTGCTACACCCGACCATTTCATGCTGCAGTTGGTAGGATATTTGAGATATTGCAATACATTGTATAGACGTTGTACACTACTCATATGGTTGCTGAAACCAAAATGGTACACAGATGAGGGTGTACGTCGAATTTCGTGCGACTTGGGTCCAAGTAGAACATAGGGTTGACGGACGCTGAGGGACTGCATCCACCTGATGAGTCCGCATTGAGCCACCATAAGGGATGAATCAAGTGTCAATATGTGCCCTAAAATCCTTCTAGAACGTGGAAAATCAAATTTGTCTACCACCACCTGAGTTTCAAACAAGGAGACCAGAAGGGACTCGGTTGCAGGTGTTTGCCGGCTTGTCCGAGTCTACGTTCATGATGATCTCTCTGTTCTGCAACAAGTGTTCTAGTGGTCCATGTCAAAAACGAGCAGTAATCGACCCGAGTTTTATCCCTATTAGGGTACATCAGCAGTGTATACACTTGGCAGAGCCCAGGGACCCCTCTATTGGTTTGGCCTTGTTCACCATATGTATGGTGTATGTATGGTTGGCGAATTCTAGGGAGTCTAGTGCCTTTTCTACTTGGTTTGGAACAACCAGAATGATTGCGCTGTAGGAGAAGGGGATCGTTCAGATGACAGTGGCATGAATGCAAATACAGTTTTGCCCCTGGCATTCTGTTGCGGCTGGCACTTACTTCATGGATTCGGCTTCTCCACCGTCGACCGCCACTTGGTCAACCATCCAGGCCGGTGCATTGCAGATTGCTGGCAACCGACCTAACGACACTACGAAAGCCTATAGATGAAAATGTTGGTAGCTCAGGTAGCGTAGATGGTGGTCGTTGGCCTGTTCGCTGAGCCGGGCAATTTGGTTGCAAACGTTTCATCACCAATCGAGGTGACATCATCAGTGCGTTATTGTGGAGCGTAGGAGTGCGTAGCGGTGATGATGTCACCTCGATTGGTGATGAAACGTTTGCAATCAAATTGCCCAGCTCAGCGAACAGGCCAACGACCACCAACTACGAAAGCCGTGTGGACAACTGTCATATGCAGGCGTAAATGCATCCAACCACATCAACGCACGATGGACCAGAGCCAGCACTGTTGTTTGGGTGGGGCGAGATGGTTCAAGTGGTTAGAACGCGAATTTACTGACCGGAAGGTTCGTGGTTCGAACCCGGCCTCTGCTTCTCAACTTCTCTTGTACAGGCTTGGACAGCTTGACTTCTCTCGGGAGGTATGGCATCTAGGCACCGAAAGGTTGTTACTGTTGACTGGGAAGCATGGAGCCCCAATCGACTACCATCCAGGAAAAGAAATTTAGGAATATACTTACAAGCATGTTCTGCTGATTGTCTAACGTCGTATTCCCCGGGTTAGAAAATAAGTGATGTGATCGTTGCTTGGATCATTCGGCGGGTTTACAAAAAGGCGCCTTTAATTCCTAGGACTTTGGTATGTTTGCTCACATCTAAACATTCCGATAAGTCCAAAAAATCTTTAAGTAACTATTTACCTGTCATCAGTTCTTCAAAGCTTGTCTCCGGTCAAATTAGTCCGAGTTGCAAATTGGTCTGGTTAAAACTTCAAAAAAAGGGAGTTCACTCAACAGAATCCAGTTAATGAGGTCCACTTTAATTGAATGTGCTGCACAAGAATGTCTCATTTTTCAGTTAGTACGACATTCGAGATATCGAAGTATATTGTCTGAGAGAAACATACTACTCATAAGCTTGCTGAAAACCCTTTGACAGCCCACAACCAGTTTCGCCCTACTTGTAGCTCATCTATTAGCTTCAACCTGATTTTCTGTCAACCCTGTATGCTACTTGGACCCCACTTTGACGGAATTTGCCAGATAGTCCAGGGACTCCAAACCAACCAGACTGGTGTATCAGAAAAAACTGTGCTTGCCCTTCAATAGTGGAATTTTTCGGCCAGGGCAATCGGAAAAACTGTCCGAAGCTTTCTCTCTCCTTGTAGCTGTCTACATGCGACCTTTACAAACCGTCTGCCAGTCAGACAGGAACTGAAAAACTTACTGCCCCATCAGAACATATCGGCATGCAGCCATCGGGTTGTTCATTAAGGTCCATCAAGCCATATCAGACAGATGTCCAAACTGATGCCTGAACATCCCCCTATTAGAATGCCGTTAAAACTCTTGTTTTAGCCCATTGGCGGGTCATCACATGGTAACTGAGTTTGCACACCAATCGAGAAACTTATAACACTTTAACAGAGGGAAGAATTAGCTGCTAATGAGTATAGGAATGCATAAAAACGATCATTTTAGGCGATGGCACCAAGCTGGTCAACTAGTGAACTAGTGCGGTCACGGGACTTTCATAACTTGTGCCAATTCTCAACTCAGTACCGGTTGATTTTTATTACATCTGGGAACGCTACAGTCCATCGACCTTAGGATGCCCTGTTAGATAACATTCAGCAGTAGAACCGGCCACCGGTTTGACTAGTAAAAGTACCTGGAATACGCAGCCCCCGAAAAAAAGATTTGGATCTCCTATCGAACAAGTTCATAGATCAAATCTCTGGCAGTAGTTCCTACATTCTCTATCAAACTAATCCCTTCAGGCGCTCATCTTAAAAGTTGCTATCGGTGATTCATAATGATGAGAACGTCTTTTCTCTTCTCTTACTTCTTTCACGAAGACATTTTAAAGCCATGGTGCCCGTGAATTCGTCCGTTTGAGTTTATCTCATGGTGTTACTCTGAGTGTTCACTTTTGTCCCCTCGTTTGCATCATACTACTAAGTGAGTTATCATCGCCTTCTGCAGCCACAGCAAGAAAGGCGTGATTGAGCTGAGTAGAAGTAGGATAGACAATCAACCGGTCGACCGAAGTAATTTATTGATGAATCGAGTTCATAGGATGACAGAAAACTGAATCAAACGACGAATGTTGAAGCCAACGGTCAAAAAACGGTAAAGCATCGGAGGTCTGTTGCAGGCGGATGAACGGTGAGTGACTGACTGTACGGCATTACCCCCGGCACAACGGCGAGCCGGAGCAAGTTACCAAAATCGAAAACATTCAAACCGCTAGGTCACAAACGGGATAAAACTTATCTGCGGAGCCACTCTTCGTTCGAGGTAACAGGCGGAATGATTTCAGATAATTAGATTAAAACTCACATCGTAGCTCGCGCTCTTTTGATTTCGACATTAGAGAAACCAACAATAACCAGCGTTCTGTGGATTTTTCTTCGAGCTGTTTGCAACAGTAATCGGAAATTTCCACTAAATCCGTGGAGATTTGTGAGCATTAATGTGGATCGAAATGCTGGTGGTTCCGGTGCACTTGTTGGTTGCTGACCAGCTGGTTTTGAGCGGGTCTGACGGGACTTCCGCAGGCCGTTCCTGCCAAACTCATGATAAGGACTAACTGAACACCTAGGCCTAATGTGAAAGAAATTGGTCACTTTGGTCACTGGAAAAGTTGAGTACCAGGAAGACCAGAGTCCTGAAAGCAACCGCTGAGTGCCCCAATTCAAACCAGACTCACTTCCGCTGAATGTTAACCAGACAGACAACGCTCCCTCAATATGCACCGCCTCACGGCCTTGAATCAAACCCAGTCAGCGAGGGCCAGCGTTGATCAAGGTCAAACAACGCCCCCGCACCAGGCAGTGCGTCGCAGCCTCGTACCAAGGCAGACCGCGTGCGTCAGCATTGGACCAAGTTATAGTGCCCTCCAATAACTAGCTTGACGGTCGAAACGCTCAGCGTTGTATCTGACTTCTGACCCGTTCCAGTGCCAAATGCCGAAAAAACGACCAACAAAAGGGAACACAACAGCTGTATTCCGAACAAGCGAGTCCGAGAGCGTGAGTGTGTGCGAGTCGAAGATACAACGGTCTCAAGCGCCGCTCATTTGTGTTCCCTTCTGTGGGTCCTTTTTGCGGCACCAGGCACTGGAGTGGGTCAGCAGTCAGATACAACAGATTGACGAGTCAGCAGATATAACGTTGAGTATTTCGGCTCTCGACGAGTTTGTTATGCCAAAGTCTTGGCCAAAAATTACGAAATTCTGGTTTATTTGACCGTTTTTTGGAGGGGC